TCCCAACCCGAGCACCGTGTTGCTGTTCCCCCGAGTGCGTGTGGATCCCGGGTGTTTGCAGGTGGCAATTCTCTCCTTTGAGGAAAGAGTAAGTTATTTTCAGCTGCTTTTCCTCGACCTGAACTGTTTATGCTGTGTCATCAGCACTGTAATCTCTTCCTTTCGCAGTACCATGCTGGTACAGCAGAATATCATTATTTCTGATGGTTTCTAGCAACTCCATTGCCAGCTGGGGGTTGACATTAAGTAGATCCTAAAGGGATAAACGTGCAAGTGGTGTAAACCCTTCCAAAGGAAGCTTCCATCTCTTAACACGTCTTTTCTTTTAAGCAGAAGCTTTGAAGCTGTTAAATCACAAGCCCAGTTTGTTACAGCCCAAAGTTAACATTTTATACAGACACTTGTGAATTTTCTTTCTTTAAGCTTACGATGTGAACGACGTCTCCGTGGGACTCGGCCGCTCCCGTAGAAACCAAACAGCAATGTTTGCTGGGGCTCACTGTGGAGAGAACTGGGAATTGCTGCTGTATTTCATTAAACCACATACTGATTATATACGCTGCTTCTTATGTGCTACGGGTATGAACTAGATTTTTTTTTTCTTTGTCCGCAGGAAAAATAAAAAGTAAAGCAAAAAAAAGAGAGAGATTTGGTCCCTCTGCCCTCCTGCTGTGTTTGTGCAGTGCGGATGAGCGAGGCTTGTTGGGCCCGAAGTAGCCCCTACACCAAAGGGGGTCGGGAATGGGAATTTGGGGAAGGGTCTCGGGGGGTTTGTGGGGTGTGAGATGTGCAGGGCACGGCCGGGATGCTCCCATCCTCTGAGAGCACCGGGAAGGCCTGGGAAAACACAGCAGCGTGCCAAAACGAGCCAAAAAAGGGCTGAAATCGTTACTGAAGAGGTTGGCGAGAGGAGGGGTGCGAGGACAAGGGCTCCCGCGCCCGGTCCCTCTTCCAGCCACTTTTCCCGGGTTACGCAGGGCTGCTTGGGAAGGAACCGGGAGCTTCCTGATGCTGTCGTTCCGATGTTGGCATTACTAACGTGTGTAGCGAACTGAACGTTTTTGGTTATTAGCATAATACTAAATAAATTTTTTTAAAAGGGACTACTATGTTATATTTGTAGAAACCTCGCAGCAAAGAAAAGCCAAGAGGTTTTTCTTCGCTTTAGTGTGATCAGGTGTCTGATCCACATGAGAAAAAAAGCCAGGACAACTGCTGGGTGTTTCGGAGTCCATCTGCCCTGGCCCTGCTGGAAGCGCGTGAGTGGCTCCGTCCCCCTGATGACAAATTAATATCTGTCATACGATTCCCCTAACACTAAGACACATACTTGGTTCCCACAGGCTTTTCCTGGAAATTGAGCTAAAATGAGCCGCTTTGGGTGGGAAGAGATCTATTTCCACCATTGCTACTGCTGCATCCCCCTTCCCGATACACAACCATGGCCTGGACGGGAAGCAGCCGCTCGGGAAGCTGGAGCTGTAGGAGCTTCATCCGCTGTGAATATCCGTCCCAGATAGGCAGGTCCTTTCCGCAAACCCTTTTCCAGGCGTTTTGCACCGTCCTCGGAGCTGGTCCGCCCTGGTTAGCAGCGGGGAGCTGTGTAATGAGCCCGCGGGGACTCGGCGCCGCGGTTGCTACCGCCACGGAGAAGCCACCGGCAAACAACCAACGGAGCCGCCGGCAGGACCGG